GTCCAGAAAGGAAACTCCTACACGATCTCACTTATATGTAGAACCTGGAAAAGTCAAGCTCGAAGAAGCAGAGAGTGGAATGATGGTTGCCTGAGGTTGGGGGTGGAAGAAATGAGGAGATGATGGTCAAAGAATCAAATGTTTTAATTTTGTGCATGAGAAAGTGATCAGAGGAGCCTGAGTCGGGAGCGTAAGGTCAAGGCCAACTCATGGGGGTTGGAAGCTGGGGAAGAACTAGCTACTGATGGGGGCAGATGGAGTTGTGTTTTTTTGTTTTTTCTTCTTTGCTGTTGTGGTAGACCTAGTCCGATTTCGCCAAAAAGTAGAGAGAAGACAAATGTCAAAAACCCAGTTGTGAACATTTCCAGTTATTCATTTTCAATCACTTGTTTTTCAGTTTGACTTGATTCTCAGATATCTCATGAAAGTAACTGTGTATTTTTCTTTAAATGGCTAATTTACTCATTGTTAAAGGTTAGGGCCACAGCCTCACATTGATCACAATCTATTGTTTTGGAAACAATAAGAGAGAACAAAAGATTATGTTAGAAAATGACTTTAGCTTTTGAGGTCTAGTACAATGGAATCAAAGTCACTTGTGAGAAATAGTTGACTAATCCTTTTTCTTTTTAGAGAGATTTCTGCTATAGGGCATGTACACTCACCAGAGAGACAGAGAGTGAAAAATCACCCCCCTCGGGGCGGGGGATGGCCATGTCACAATCCCATTTCCTCCATTCTTCTCTCGGGATTTTGGGCACGCGCACACACGTGCCCAGCGTGAGTTTTAAGTTGCCAGGTCCAGGATTTGAACCTTGGTCGACTCCAGCTATGTAACCATTACACCATCTGCTAGTCCCTAGTAGACTGATCTTTAACTGTTGCTTTCAAATTATTTGTCTTGAGCTTAAAAATTAAATCATTACAATATAAAAATTGTAGAGGAGCAGCCAAAGATTTATTTTCTAATAACAGGGAGTGTGTGAATTTTTTCTCTTTAGTTGTAGAAAACGTAACTTGATAAGATGATATACATTACCACTTCTCGTTTGTTGCATTTAACTTCTATTCTTTGGTGTCATATGTTTAAGAGACATTTAAATTCTCCCCTTACCTTTTATTTTGTCAAATGCCAATTCTATTTAAACCTTACCCAAACTACTACTGGCTTCAGAGTTTTAAATTTTACACAAGACTTCCAGACACTTTGATATGTGATTATCCTTGCTTATTCTGTCAAAAGAAGACAATGATAAAGTGGATGCATGAAAGGCATAGGTTCTCCCCACTCATTTTAACAAGTACCTAGCACATGCTAGGGAAAGGTTAAAACAAAAGTCAGAATTTTAGACAATCAAGGGATCTCTGAAAAAAAAAATAGAGATTTAGCTACATATAAAGAGAACAGGGTTTGAAGGATTAGTTTATGGAGCTCAAAGAAAGATTAGTACACATCTTTAATCGCCAAGTTAATGAAGCCACCTAGTGGTTTGTTATGTAAGGTAAGATTGTATGACTATTGCAGTAACATGCCTTTGAATTGATTTTGTGGATTTCCAAATACGTGTAACTTGCCTTTGAATTGATTTTGTGGGTTTCCACTTAAGTGTAACTAAGAGTGTGGTCACTTTTCATTAAGTCCGGAAAACAGGGTCATTAAATTTCATTGAGAATAAGTACAGTGTGTCTCTATTTTACTTATTTAGTGTTCAGTTTTTGCCATAGAATGTGCATTTGCCAGAAAGATGGAAAGAGAGCTAAGGAAAGGTAAAGTGAGAAATCACTCCCTGGGGGGATGGCCATGCCACACTCTCGTTTCCTTCATTCTCGTCTCGGGATTTTGGACACACACGCACATGCTCTTGGTGTGATTTTCAAGTTGCTGTGTCCAGGACTCCAATGGGACAGCCAGATATGTGGGACCCAGCACCTTAACCTCCACGCCATCTGCTGGCCCTATTTATAGTGTTTTAATAAAAAAGAACTTAGGGACCAGCAGATGGCATAATGGCTATGTCATTGGACTCCCATGTAGTTGACCACAGTTTGAATCCTGGACCCGGTGTTTTAAACTCATGCTGGACGCATGTGCATGCGTTCCCAAGATCCTGAAAGGAGAATGGAGGAGAAGGGATTGCGGTGTGGCCATAACCCCTGGGGGGCGGGGGGGGTGATTTCTCACTTTCTGTCTCTCTGTCTTTCTGGAGAGTGCATGCGCCCTATTGCAAAAACCTTTCCAAAAAGAGAACTTAAGACACCTTACATGAAACTGCAGTGAAGTAGCACAAACTATTGCAGATGAGAAAGAGAAAATAGGAATAAAGACATAAAAAGGGCGGCCAGAAATGGTAGTAATTCAAAAATGCTTGCTAAATCTATATTTTTCTATGAATGTCCAAATTTCCAGGTAAGAGTAGAAACTGATCAGTTACAAAATTCACAATGACTAGAAAGATGGCGCAGTTTTCAGGAGAAACTGAGAAAGTATTCATGATGCTAGGAGCAGAGGAACTTTTTTTTTTTTCCTGGATGTTGACACAGTGATCCACAACTGCCTGATGTAATGACCTTAATCCTCACAGGAGATAGAAGTCTGGGTCTTGGAGGATTGTTTCTCAATTGTGTCTACACTGACTTGAAAGAGAATGTACACCAAACTCCATTTTTTTTTTTAAAGAGATATTTTTGCTATAGGGCACATGCACTTGCCGGAGAGAGAGAGAGAAAGTGAGAAATTAGCCCCTGGGGGGATGGCCACGCCACAGTCCCTTTTCTTCCACTCTTTTCTCGGGATTCTGGGCACGTACGCAGATGTGCCTGGCATGAGTTTTAAGCCATCGAGTCCAGGACTCGAACTGCGGTCGACTACGTGGGAGTTCAGCAACATAACTATTATGCCATCTGTGGTTTCCAACCTCCGTTTTGAGGGCTTATATTAACTCGTTTGTGCCTCACAATAGGCCAAGTAGGTGGGTGATGTTATTACCCTGATGTTGCAGGTGAGGTAACCGAGTCACAGTTAGGCATGTCCCAGAGTCAGGCTACTATTACAGTGGAGCTGGGATCCAAACCCGGACAGTCTGGCTCAGCACTCATTGCCTTTTCCAGTAGGCAATACTGAATCGTCAATTAAGTACAGGAAGTCCCACCCAAGGCCAATGGCAATACCTGAGATTTTCCCCTCATGACGTACACAGTAAGATAGGTGTTCTTCAACATGATGTTGAGGCAGCCAGGGCTGCTTATTTTTGAGATGACTTAGTTAACTTTGCTCCAAGGTCACAGACATTCCCCAGCCCTAGTCACCACGCTCTTGTGCACACACGTAAGGGTGTGTGCCTTTGGTTAAAAAAAAGAAGACCCGGGAAGAGTTTACCACTTCTGACAACTGCAACATAGCTGGATCCCATACCTTTCGGACAGCCTAGTCTTGAAAGCAAGATCTAAAATGTGCTCATAACAAAACACATTTTGTTTTGCTAGCTTTTCATTTTGAAGTGGAATCTATGAACGTTTGTGAATGGCAGCTAAATTGAGTTTTCTTAACCACTCATGAACGTTGATTCTTAACAAGTACCTTAAAAGTAACTTAGTAAGGAAATAATGGTATCGCGAAAACATTTTCAGTGTGGAGTCAAAATATCATCAACTTGAGTCTTAAATTGAGCATTTAGAACGATGGCATTGCGGTAGTTATATGGTTGGTGTCTTTTCTAAGAAAAAGGAAAAGGAATACTCTATAAAATGACTGTTCTACAATGATAAGACTCTTTAACAAATTTCTGGGACATTTTAAAGGAACATTTAGCTCAATAAAGATTCCAGGGCTCGTAAAAGATTCAGGTTCTGTGATGGGACCAACATGATGAGACTGATGAAGACTTTTTCAGAGTGATGACCTTTTAATAGTTCTGATGAATTCTTGTAAGAGTCATCTAACCAGGGCAATATAAATAGAAAAGAGTGGTGGCTAGTTATGCTGAAGGATATATTGGACAGGAATGAAGAGACTTGGGGGCTGGGCAGTGATACAGTAGTAATGCAACTGGATCCACATGGGAGAAGTCCTGGGTTTGTATCCTGGGACCTCCCTGGAAAGTCTGGTATTTGTATGCACAGGATCTGGCCGGCTGAGATGGGGCCTGGGGAGGATGTGGACTGAGGCATGATGACCCTGTTGGAGATGCCAGTCTCTCTCTCAGAAGAAATAAACAACTAAATTTTAAAAAGAAACTTAGTATCCCCAGGTCTACTTTATTTTGATAACAAAGACAGATGTAAATTCTGCCTGCCTCCCTCTGTTATCATAAGCGTTGGAGCCAGACTTGGCTTCAAATACCAATTCTGATACTTATTAGCTGGATGATATTGGGTTAGTCAATTAAGCTCTTTGAATCTCATTTTCTTCATCTGTTAAATGGCTTTAATAATATGCATTCTTTTTTTTAAAGATTTATTTATTTATTTTCATTTTTTGTTATTATTTTTTCATTTGACCAGCGAGACGGAGAAAGAGAAAGGGAAAGCGAGAAAACAAGCTGCCAGGTCCGGGACTTGAACCGTGGTCGGTCATGTGGGAGTCCAGTGTCTTCACCAGGCCACTTGCTGACCCATTAATACATGTTTTTTAAATTAGGTGCTCACCATGTGCAGATATTGTGCTTTTGTGTACCTTCAACCATTATAACCATCTTAAATGGAATATTTAAATACCATTGTTAACAACACTTTACAGGTGAGGTCACCAAAGCTGTGAGAGTATAGCTAATGTGAAGAGTAAGTGAGATAATTTACATACAATGCTGCACCATCTGATCCAGAGCGATTCTCCTTCTTCTACACGGTAGCTAACGGGGTTCCTTCCCTATTCTCTTCCTGTAGGCATGCTCTGAAGATTAGTGGAGAGGAGAGCCACATGTTCAAGCAACATGAAGTTCAGGAATGAGATAGAGGTTTAGGCCAAAAGGTACAAATAATATCACATTTTTATTTTCCTACAGGAGTGGCAAAAACTCAACTACGATATCTATACCCTACGGCAGGTTCGAAGAGAGGTGAGAAACAGATGGAAACGGATTTTAGAAGATTTAGGTGAGTCTGAGAGAGATTGCACAATGGCAGAAATAACGAGTTGTGATCATTGCACGTCACTTTCTCCATCTTCCTTTCTATAAAAGGAATGCCAGTAATCGACTAATTAAGGCTGTCGTGTACTAATTATTTACCCCATCCCGCCTGCTCTCGTATCCTCAAGCACAAACATCTGATGATCCTGGTCACTGGACGTTTGTGAATGGCAGCTAAATTGAGTTTTCTTAACCACTCATGAACGTTGATTCTTAACAAGTACCTTAAAAGTAACTTAGTAAGGAAATAATGGTATCGCGAAAACATTTTCAGTGTGGAGTCAAAATATCATACAACTTGAGTCTTAAATTGAGCATTTAGAACAATGGCATTGCGATAGTTATATGGTTGGCGTCTTTTCTAAGAAAAAGGAAAAGGAATACTCTATAAAATGACTGTTCTACGATGATAAGACTCTTTAACAAATTTCTGGGACATTTTAAAGGAACATTTAGCTCAATAAAGATTCCAGGGCTCGTAAAAGATTCAGGTTCTGTGATGGGACCAACATGATGAGACTGATGAAGACTTTTTCAGAGTGATGACCTTTTAATAGTTCTGATGAATTCTTGTAAGAGTCATCTAACCAGGGCAATATAAATAGAAAAGAGTGGTGGCTATTTATGCTGAAGGATATATTGGACAGGAATGAAGAGACTTGGGGGCTGGGCAGTGATACAGTAGTAATGCAACTGGATCCACATGGGAGAAGTCCTGGGTTTGTATCCTGGGACCTCCCTGGAAAGTCTGGTATTTGTATGCACAGGATCTGGCCGGCTGAGATGGGGCCTGGGGAGGATGTGGACTGAGGCATGATGACCCTGTTGGAGATGCCAGTCTCTCTCTCAGAAGAAATAAACAACTAAATTTTAAAAAGAAACTTAGTATCCCCAGGTCTACTTTATTTTGATAACAAAGACAGATGTAAATTCTGCCTGCCTCCCTCTGTTATCATAAGCGTTGGAGCCAGACTTGGCTTCAAATACCAATTCTGATACTTATTAGCTGGATGATATTGGGTTAGTCAATTAAGCTCTTTGAATCTCATTTTCTTCATCTGTTAAATGGCTTTAATAATATGCATTCTTTTTTTTAAAGATTTATTTATTTATTTTCATTTTTTGTTATTATTTTTTCATTTGACCAGCGAGACGGAGAAAGAGAAAGGGAAAGCGAGAAAACAAGCTGCCAGGTCCGGGACTTGAACCGTGGTCGGTCATGTGGGAGTCCAGTGTCTTCACCAGGCCACTTGCTGACCCATTAATACATGTTTTTTAAATTAGGTGCTCACCATGTGCAGATATTGTGCTTTTGTGTACCTTCAACCATTATAACCATCTTAAATGGAATATTTAAATACCATTGTTAACAACACTTTACAGGTGAGGTCACCAAAGCTGTGAGAGTATAGCTAATGTGAAGAGTAAGTGAGATAATTTACATACAATGCTGCATCATCTGATCCAGAGCGATTCTCCTACACGGTAGCTAACGGGGTTCCTTCCCTATTCTCTTCCTGTAGGCATGCTCTGAAGATTAGTGGAGAGGAGAGCCACATGTTCAAGCAACATGAAGTTCAGGAATGAGATAGAGGTTTAATGCTGCACCATCTGATCCAGAGCGATTCTCCTTCTTCTACACGGTAGCTAACGGGGTTCCTTCCCTATTCTCTTCCTGTAGGCATGCTCTGAAGATTAGTGGAGAGGAGAGCCACATGTTCAAGCAACATGAAGTTCAGGAATGAGATAGAGGTTTAGGCCAAAAGGTACAAATAATATCACATTTTTATTTTCCTACAGGAGTGGCAAAAACTCAACTACGATATCTATACCCTACGGCAGGTTCGAAGAGAGGTGAGAAACAGATGGAAACGGATTTTAGAAGATTTAGGTGAGTCTGAGAGAGATTGCACAATGGCAGAAATAACGAGTTGTGATCATTGCACGTCACTTTCTCCATCTTCCTTTCTATAAAAGGAATGCCAGTAATCGACTAATTAAGGCTGTCGTGTACTAATTATTTACCCCATCCCGCCTGCTCTCGTATCCTCAAGCACAAACATCTGATGATCCTGGTCACTGGCCCATGTCCTGAGGACACATGCTGCCATGTGTGACGCCATCTGTCCCCAGTACAGTGTAGCATAGGCCGTCAGGTCCTACGGGCACTACCATTTCCTTTTTTGGCACTGCACAGTGATTGACTTAGCCAGGGTGGGAGGGGTTGGTCATCTTTATAAGATGAAACCGATGGGGAGGAATATTACTTGAAAGAGACACAGCAAATTCCAGAGCAAACCTTCAGAAGTAAAAGGAAGAGAAACTTCAAGGTTGGGAAAAATACCTGTGGCATTAAGGTAGATACTGGATAATGGGTTTTCTTAATTCTACTAGGGTTGCAATGCAATAAACATGATCATCACATAAACTTACCGGAATGAAAAATGGACTTACCAATTTCGAAGACCTTGATTCTTCTGCTTAGAAAGAACATGACTCTCTACCATCATTACTTTTCAGACGTGTGCGCCAAGTTGCAAATTGTCATTGCTTGGTTTGGGAGATGGCTGGCCTAGTTTCAGTTTCCTGATGTCTGAACAGAATCTGTATTGGGACCTTTATTTAAAAAAAAAAAAAAAACTTATTTATTTTTAAGACAGGGTCTCTATGTTGCAATCTTCGTGCCTCAGCCTCCTGTGTAGCTAGAACTGCAGGCATGTGCTATAAAGCCAGACTTTTAGGGTGGGCTGGGAATCGAACTTGGGTCTCCTATGTGACTTCAGACTACCTACTAGTAGCATCTACCGACACACACTCTCATGGTTGGACCTAGGTCCCTTCTTAATCTCTTGCAGGGACCGTGTTTCAGGACAGTCATTTCCTTGTGACTATGTAACATGAGAGGTGCATGTTTCTCCTTTAGGTTTTCAAAAGGAAGCAGACTCTTTGCTGTCAGTGACCAAACTCAGCACCATCAGTGATTCTAAAAACACAAGGAAAGCTCGAGAGATGTTGCTAAAACTGGCTGAAGAAACCAATATTTTCCCCACAAGTTGGGAGCTCTCAGAGAGGTATCTCTTTGTTGTGGTAAGTGGGTGCTTTTCATCTGCCCTCATTTTGCTTTACTTTTTCCTTTTCTGCTATTGCAACCCCACCAGTACACCAGGCCTCTTTGCAGAGTGAGTGTCAATCTGGCATCGGAGATACTGGTCTCCAGTGGCCAGCAGGATTGTGATCACTCGGAGAGCTTCACAAATTCAGATTTCTGGATCACACCTAAACCTACCGAGGTGTAAGATAGGCTCAAGAGTCTATGTTTTTCAGCCACTTCTGCTGTGCAATCAGCTCTTTGAACTTTTTGTAGAGAAGTGAGAAATACTGTTTATATAACCTAAGATCGGAAAGAAGGTGAATGAACTCTGAGTGTGTAAGAATGGTAGAAAGTTTCTCAGATGGGGACCAGCAGTTGGCATAATGGTCTCTGGACTCCCATGTAAGCTGACTGTGGTTCGAGTACTGGACCTGGTGACTAAAAACTTATGCCGGGTGTGTGTGTGTGTGTGTGTGTGTGTGCCCAAGATTCTGAGAAGAGAATGGAGGAGAAGGGATTGCTGTGTGGCCATAGCTTCTGGGGGGTGATTTCTTGCTTTCTGTCTCTCTGTCTCTCTGGTGAGTGCACATGCTCTATAGCAAGAACCTCTCAAAAAAAAAAAAAGATTTAATAAGCACTTCTTTTTTTTGAGAGAGAGATTTTTGCTATAGGGTGCTTGCACTCGTAGGACAGACAGAGACAGAATGCGAGAAATCACCCACCAGTCTGAAGTCACATAGGAGGCCCAGGTGAGAAATCACTCACCAGGTGGGGTGGCCACGTCGCCATCCCTTCTTTACCGTCCTCATCCCGGAATCATAGGCGTGCATACACGTGTGCCTGGCATGAGGTTTAAGCCACCGGGTCTGGGACTCTAACTTCAATTGACTATGTGGGAGTTCAGTGACATAACCCTTATGCCACCTGCTGGTTCCTATAAGTGCTTCATTCTTATTTCTAGGTTAGGTTTTGTTCTTAAATTGATCATTCCATTTATATGACTTAGTTCCCAACTTGGCAAACCTTCTCTCACCTTTTTTTCTTTTTCTTTTTTCCTGACAGGACCGTCTCATTACACTTGATGCTGCGGAAGAATTCTTTAAAATTGCTAGTCAAACTTATCCCAAGAAGCCTGGGGTCCCCTGCTTGGTAAATGGCCAGAAAGAACCACACTACATTCCATTTCCAAGTCCCTAAAGGGGCAGGATGGGAATTCTTCCATTGGGACTCAACAGCCAACCAAAGTTGATGATGGTCTGTAGAAGAGGATGAGCAAGAAGAGGGCTTGCTAATGGAAAAGTTACTCTGAATCCTACAGAAATGTGAGAGTTTCATGAGGACCTTCCTCTACGAAATGTTCGGGTTTCATTGAAACACCCTGGTGACTTTGCATCTAGAAAGAAACTTCAAGAGTATGTCAGTAGCATAGTTTATCAGGTGATTAGATTCGAAAAGCCCATCGTCCCAGGTTTTTGTTATACAGTAAGCCCCGATCATTAATCCTGTTGGGAGAATGGCATATTCTAATTAATAAAACAATATGATTAATAGAGAGAGATTAGCCCAAAAAAGAATTGCCACTTTAAAAGTCATGATTGGGTCATTGGAGAAGTCATGACATATTTTTCTATGCAAAAATGCATCATGACTTTTCTGATGACCCGATATTATAAAAGATAGGTTAACTCCAAAATACTACCAGGTAGCATGTGACCTCTCTTTTATTTGGAAGAACCTGCAAAAGTTGGGAGGTTACCAAAGACATTGAGGTTCACTTATGATAGTTCAGAAGAAATGTATCAGATAATAGAAATTTGCAGGGTTACCGTTGGGAAGTGCACTCCAGGTACAGTGACCCCAACCAGAACTTCCTAAATCTCCATGTAAAAAGTTCAGTTTTCACTTGTGGTATGTGCATCTTCAACTCCCAACACGACTGCTATCTGGTTACCTACAGTTTGCAAATTGTCCATTTCTACTCCCAAGGTAGATATTTTATCTGGGATAGCAGCTGTAAACAGAAACATGGCTCTCCACTGCCTTCTCTTGTCTGTAATCTGTCTCCTGCTCATCAGTGGAGGATTGCACCTGTCCATTGCACCGAGAGAAGGTCACTGCTGGTCTTTCTTTCATTCCAAAGATGATTTTCAAAGTGAAGCAATACTACCAATGCAGCTTACTCTGTCTGCAGACGAAGTCCAGCTTTAAAGGGTACTTGCCACTTCAGCAAGGAGCTTGCTCAGAGAGACATTATTGTTCACTTTTTTGAAAAGACTTTAAGGAGTTTTGTAGAGTTTATCAGAAGATTGCTGACAACAATAGCAATTTTTGAAAACAGATTTTTGCACTTCTGACTTCAGGTTCAAAACTAACTGGTATTTAGTCTGTCCAGGGGATTGTGACTTAAATTTTTCACATATGGTTTAGCTTTTCTGGTAGGATACATAAGGTTTGAAATATTTTCTAGAAGAGATACATGTTCTCCATTTATTAATGTATTGCACACTATTTTAACTGATGTGTTTCAGGAAGAGTCTTTCTAGTTTAATAAGTAAGCTAAAAGTTTTATTTTTTATATTTAGTGCTTAATCCCTGCCTTAGGACATTTAAACTTAGCCTACAGATGTTTTCCCTCACTTCTGTAGGCTCTTGGAAGATAAACATGCAAACAGTGAAACAAACAATAAAAGAAGCAAAAAAAAAATCCTAGAACGTCATATCGTTTTAATCTTCATATTCAGAATTTGCGTTTTGTCTCTCTGCCCTTATTTTTTTTGATGGCAAAATAAATTAGACTGTTTGCACTTCTGGAGTACGAGTTACCTGAGTATTTCTGGGAATTAATGAGTATGGTAATGTTGTCTCTAGGATTATAAAAATATGTGGAATTATCCAGAAAATTTTGCTTCTAAGAAATTAAAAGGTCTTGGGGAACCAGCAGTTAGTGTAATGGCTATGTCGCTGGACTCCCATGTAGTCGACCGAAGTTCGCATCCTGGACCCGGTGGCTTAAAACTCACACCAGGCACGTGTGCGTGTGTGCCCAAGATCCCGAGAGGAGAATGGAGGAGAAGGGATTGTGGCGTGACCATCCCCCCTGGGGGGTGATTTCACACTTTCTGTCTCTATGTCTCACTCTGTCTGTCTGGCGAGCGCACGTGCCCTATAGCAAAAAACTCTCAAAAAAAAAAAAAAAGTAAAGAAAAGAAATGAAAAGGTCTTTGCATTTACTTTTCAATTGTGTGTATGTTATATTTGTGACAAATAAAAAGGAACAGGTATTTTCCCCAGAATCCCTTTAAATGAAAGGGCAGAGAAGCTGAAAGCTGGATGGGCTAAGGACATCCCTCATCTTAGAGCCATTTTGGGGGGATCTATGCTAAAGCGAGTGGACACTGAGGGTGTGAGAGGCTCAGAGGTGACCAAGGTGACCATTCGGAAATCATAGTGTGCTATGCAGGATCCATGGATGTCCAGGGGGCTAGGGAGGTCTTCTACTTTTTAAAGCGGACTGTGGCCAGCAGGTGGTGTGGTGATTAAGGTGCAGAACTCCCATGGCTGATCGTGGTTCAAATCCCGGACCTGGCAACTTGCTTACTCACTTCCTCTCCCTGGCAAGCACATGTGTCCTATACCAGGTAAAAATAAAAAATAAAATAAAATAAAATAGTTCTTGAGGGTAAAAAATTGTGGTCTTCCTATTGATTCCTTTTGTATTTCTTAAAGGTTGATCTAGAGCCAGACTGTGGCACAGTGGTAACACAGGGGAGCCCCCATGGGAAAGGTACTGGGTTTGTGTCCTGGGACCTTCCTGGGCGCCCCACACCCAAGATCTGGGGCTAACGGAGATGAGGGGTAGATCATGGCATGACGATCCTGTTGGAGACAACCCCCTCACACACACATAGAGTACATGAATAAACCTTTTTCCAAATGAAAAGATTATGTGCGTATGCATGATTATTTCAGGAGTAGTGGGATGAACATTTTAAATTAGTAATTATTTATTTTAATGTGTACCAGAGGAAAGAACCCTGTCACGAGCAGATGAAGCACTTGATTTCGTATTTTGTGGAGCTTATGCCATCTAGTGATGAAGTATTTATGTTTTTATCAGTGGAAAGCACCCAGGAAAGCACAGGGACACCTGTCCCAGAGTGGTAAGGAGTGCATTGGTGAGTGCGCTAGCATCACCGGGGCTCAGAGGTGGCTCTGTGGGCCAAATGCTGTTGCAGAAGAGCGCTCCCGGATTGCACGGGCCTGAGAAAACAGGCCGGTGGCAGCCCTGCTCTGTCAGAAGCCAAGTATACACAATTATCATGATGAAATGCCAGGTCTGAAGGACACCTGCAGAGAGCTTTGGAGATGGTCCATAAAACGTGACATCCCCAGGGTCCAAACCATCAAAAGATCTCAAGGATGGGTGGCCAGGAGATAGGGCATGGCCACCTTAGCAAAGGTTACAACCTCTTGCCAAGTTTCCAATCCTTGGCTGTTTTTCAAACACTGAAACTACTGACTGAGGGAAAGGCTGGATCCCCACAAAGACTTGGTGACACCACTGGAAGTGTTGGCAATGAGTCCCCTCTCCTTCCCTGAAAGGACCTATGGTTATTCACTTGGATAACTGCACACTGGGGCAAGGGAAGTGCACCAATACTCGGAGGACCATGGGATACCAGGTCCGGTCAACACTGGCACTTGGCCTAAAGTTTGTTACAGTTCACCTTTCACAGTTGGGGCATAAAGGATTAAGGTAATAAATGGGAGTCCTCCCTTTGTTCTAACTCACAGTAGATTCAGTTAGTCTACAGATCTGTGACTGGAGAATGGCCATCTCCACTTCTGGAATAAATAAATGCACCAAGCATACTTGGCTGTTTGCAGAACCACTGCCCTTTTCTTAGTTTCTAGATTAACAGCTGTCTTAATGAGAAAGCCAAATAAACCCTCCGAAATTGACCTACCTCCTGGCCACTCCAGTAAACTAAAATCAGAATTCCATTCCATGGTGATGGCAGAAATTACTGCTGCCTTTAAAATCTAAAGGATGGGCCAGGTGCTGGTGTGATGGTGAAGGTGACTGGATCTCATCTGGCTGAATGCATGGTTCGAATCCCAGACTGGTGGCTTGAAAAACACACTGGGCACGTGTGTATCCATGTCCTAAAATCCTGAGAGGAGAATGGAGGAGGAGGGATTGTGGTATGGCCGTCCCCCCAGGGAGTGCTTTCTCACTCTCTATCTCTCTCTGGAGAGCACATGTACCCTGTAACAGAAACAAACAAACCTAAGGGTGCAGGCTGTGTTTCTCTATTGTACTTAATCCATTTCATTTATCACTGTGGCTCCTACAAAAACTAGTGCAGTGGTAGCATAACTAGACCCACACAGGAGAGGTTCTGGGTTCATGTCCTGGGGCTTCCTTGAGCACACTGAACATTTGCATGTGCCTATGATCCAGGGGCTCCCCAGGTAAGGCTGGGGGCAGAATGTGGTGTGGAGAACCTGTTGGGGGATTCATCTCTTTCTTTTTCCTTCTTTTTTTCTCTTCCTTTCTTTTTTGTTCTTCTTTCTTTGTTTTTCCACCTTTTTATTTTGTCAATCGTCATTATCCCCAAATATATTAAGGTAAGAATTAGGGAGTTTTAAAAATAATTGTATAGCTCTTCCATAAGGAGAGAAACAGAGAGACAGGCACCTCCAACAGGGTCTTCACGGCATGGTCCACCCCAAGTCTGAGCTGGTCCGAATGATGAGCACAGGCTCACACCTGCTATGCTGAGGGAGAGCTCAGGCATGACCCTAGGACCCAGGGTCATGAGGACCCAGCTGCATTACCATTGTGCTACTACCTGGCCCCATCTCTCCGTTTCTTACTCTCTGAGAAGTGAATGCAAAACAAAACAAAAAGCACAAAGCACACACACACACACAAACAGAAAACTAGATGGATATGAGAGGATGGAAGTGGACTATTGAAAACTCAACGGGTAGCCCTAATGGTAACTGCTGTTACATGTGGGCTATTGGCCAGAATGCATCAACCCAGGGTCAGTTACATGGTATTTGACAGGTTGGGTGTCCCTTATCCAAAGTGCTTAGGATCAGAAATGTTTTGAAGTTTTGATTTTTTTCAGATTTGGAAATATTTGTGTATAGATAATGAGATATTTTGGAGATATTTGAAGTCTAAACATGAAGTTCACTTATGTTTCACATATATCTGTACACATAGCCTGAAGGTATTTTACATAACATTGGGTTGTCAGAAATGTCATGACACATTTTTGCATAGAAAAGACACAGGATGACTTTTTCTGACAACCCAATATTTTTGTATTGCAGCATTTTTTCTGTGACCCATCACATAGGATCAGATGTGGAATTTTCCATTTGTGTCATGTTGGCATCAAAAAGTTGCAGGTTTGGCGCCAGCAAGGTGGCATGGTGGTTGAGACAGTTGGATCCCACAGGGCCTATTGCGTGGTTTGAGTCCCAGACCCAGCAGCTTAAAAACATGCTGGGCACATGTACATGCATGTCCAAAATCCCAAGAGGAGAGTGAGGAGGATTGGTGTGGCCATCTGCTCTGGGAGGTAATGTCTCACTGTCTCTTTGTCTCACTTTCCCTTTCGCTGTTTCTTTCCAGCAAGCACACACACCATACAGCAAAATACATACATACATACATACATAATCAGATTTTATAGAATCTCAGATTTTGGATAGGGCTCATCCTTTATGTTCTTTCCATAATCTTTAGTAAAGTAGATCAAAAACTAGGCATCCACTTGGGCTGTACAACAGTGTGCATTTACAGTATTGCTCCACAGCTATATAAACTCTCCCATCCTCTGTTGTAATACAGTCTCACGGAGCCTGGAGCATCTGGATGCTCTCAGAATATTATGGTTATCCTAGCAGTGACATTAGATCACGAATGACTACAAAGATGAGTATGAAAAGGGAAGTGCATTGGAAACTTTGGCGGGAAACATGCACTTCTCAAGATGGGAGAGAAATCCTGCAAGTCTTAGGGACCTGAAACTTCAGGGATTTTTTGGTTCCCAGGTGTCTAGGTCATGCTGGAACATCCTCTTCAGAGGAAAGTCAGTTTATATCACCGTATCTCTCCTATCTCTCAGGAGACAGCAGAATGCTTCGTATGCCTCCTCCTGGTCTTACCTGGAAGCACTGCTCCATCCCATATAACTGGGTGACATGAAAACCTGCCAAGGTGAGAAAGGGCTCCCAAGTGGTTCAGACTCTGGCTGAGTGGCCTGTCACTTGGGTCACAGGAGCCTGCAGACTGTGCGGTGAACAGTTCTGGTAAATGAGAAAGACGCCACGTGAATGAATGGGAAGTCCAATAAGAGTATGACAGCGTGGTTTCCCAGGGTCCTGGATCAGGGCCATGCCATTTGCAGAGACAATTACACACCATTTAAAAACAAAAACAGACAAACAACCCCCCCAAAAACAAAAACACAAAATACCTCTAGGCTCCTGCTTGGTCTCTAGATGAAGCATCTGGTCGTGAAAGAGCAAATAACCATGTGGAAAAGGCACTCACTGTGAACTGGACTTTGTCAGACCGAGCAATCTGTGAGGTTCACATCTAGCATTTCCCCCCTATTATTTAGAAAAATAGAGATTTAATTTTAGAATAGTTTTATATGTACAGGAAAATTGCAAAGACAGTACAGAGAATTCCCGGATACCCCACTCAAAGTTTCCCCTATTATTTACATCATACCTTAGTGTAGTACGTTGGTCACTGGAGAACCAATACTGTTCATCGTTATTGACAATAGCTCATTGCTTCTCCGAGTACACAGTCTTTGCCTAATATCTTTCTCGTTCAGGTTTCCAACCAAGTCACCATCTTGCATGTAGTTGTTATGTCCTCTTAGTTTCACCTTGGTTAAGACAGTTCCTCAGACTTTCTTTGCTTTCACGGACCTTGACAGTCTGGAAGGA